AATTTAACTTTACTTTTTTTTTAATTAGTTGAACATAAACTAAAATTATTTTATCATTCACACCGCAACTTGATGCCCATTCTTTCGTAGTTTGATATATATCTGTTTTTAATTTTTGTTGGGTTTACATGCAACCTCGAAAATTACTTTTGAAGATTTCATTTTTTATAACAAAAATTTTGTCAGTTATAAAATACTTACCTCTACAAGTAAACACCCTATAAAAATAAATATTGCCTTTTACATTACATATCTTTCCAGAACACTATCTTTATCTTTCAATCAACATAATATAAACATATAATATCTACAAGACAACATCATCTTTCGATCCGATTCTGCAACGCTGATAGCAATTGGAAACTCATGTTTGCAATAAACGCGTTAAGTATTTTTTTACCAACACAAAAGGTTGACGAAACCGATGGCTCGGAACGAAATTAGTTTGAAATCCCTAAACACAAAATATTGCAGCTAAATATTTTCCGTTCAATAAACGCTTATATCACATATTGTAAAAGGGTAAATGTTTCTATGAAACCTTAATTAAAACTACGTTTCTAATATTCTATTTTCATACCGACTAAATAAGTAAACTTTCATTTAATTGCCGACTGGTAATTTTTTTCAATTTAATTAATACATGCAAACTGTATGTATCAATGACTTGCATAGATTTCGACAATAATATTTTTTTTTTTTGATAAAAACATTAATTAAAATTTTAAAAAACTTCATTTATAATTTTAATATCATCGCTAACAATATCGTTACAACATCACAAAATATTCAAATGACCTAATTGCTTTAAATACGTAATATTCTAAACAATCGCATATAATTGGCCGTCATTATAATTAAACAGCAAACAACAAACATAGGAGCAATTTGTATTTACTAATTTCATTATATAATATGTTTGTTATATTAACTCACCCTTTTTAAAACGTTGTGGATACAACGGGACATATCCGATTAACCGGATGCTATCATACGAGTCGTGCGAATTGAAATGCTTTTCATCCGAACGTAACTACCGGATATTAATTCAGTACACACAATCACGTAATGGATACGTTTAAAAAATTATGTCCATTTCATTGTTTAATTTAATAATGCTATGTAGTAATGATTACCTGACCCGTTTTGGAGGACGGTACAGGTGTTACACAGTTGATTTATGGAGATTATATTATGGGGTGAGTAAGGAAGAACGATATCATAAATGGGACGGAGAGGACCTTTGATGTAATATTTATAAAGTTTTATAGAAGCATTACATTACTTTTTCAGAATTAATAAACACCTTATGTTGCTATTTACATAATTATTATTTAAAAGAAAAAATCGAAGTTTGAATCTTAATAAATAGTGGATGTTAACTGTTATTTTAATTATTCTATGCAAATAAGTTTTATATACAATATTTTAATATTTAAACTTGAAAATTAATTATCCTATGGTCCATTAACGCGTCTGATAAATATTATAACCAGCTTCCATAGAACTTCTTCTTCTTCTGGGATGCCTTAAATAATAATTAAATTAACAACGAGTATTTAGTAAGCAATCGTCATTCACAGATGACTTTTCAAGAAATTTTTGTTTCTTTACCTGTAGTATTTGAATATTGTTATTCATGTGCTCGTGTCAAATGGATCATTATTATACTTATTATATACTTAGATTCCAGTTTTTTTTTTGTTCAAAAGAATTTTAAAATAAATGTAAAACATATGATTTATTATATTTGAGAGATAAAAAAAACATTACATTAAAAGCAAAACAATTAAAAGTGACATGAATATGGGATAAAAAAAACCGAATACAAGAAACATTAAAAAAAAATACAAAAGAACATAAAAAGGCCAAAAGCCAACACAAAATACTAACAGAATTCCGTGACTTACATATATCGTTTAAATTAAAAAAAATATCATATTCTTGTTTTCAAAACTAATAGTTTATGGAGAAAAAATAAATATCTTAAAATTTTTTGTTACAAAAATGTAGTACAATGGTTTGCCTTAAAGGTCAAATAAGTATATTTAATTGCAAGCCATATGCTATGAACTGATGAAGCACGTTAATTAAAATCTTAAGAACAGTAAAAATCTTATACTTACTTATGCTTTTGTTTCTTTTATACTCTTACAACTTCTACGTTATAAAACTGGACGATAAAAATAGATATGCTCGTATTTATTACTTTCTTCGCCGTATTCTAATAGTGTTGAAAGGAGAACAACCAATATTAAGCGATTTACTTTTAGCACCATACTAACGAAATTACTATTTGTGAAAAAGTATTTGGACAAATTAAATTTTAATTGAGATACTTTAACATTTGTGATACAAAATATCAAAATGTATATTTATATTTCTATAAATAGTATGCTTGATATTGGTCAATATGTTCCATTTGATCTACGCATATGATTTTAATAATACGCTTCAATATTTATTTGAATAGATTTTGTTTAATCACGTGAACAAATAACCAGAATAATATTTTACTGTAAAAGAAAACTAATCCTTTAACATATGAATAACATGAAAGTATGCAGAATCGTGATATTACCGACCTGCATACATAATTAAATACTCTTCATCTACATTGCATCCGTAGTTATACTTTTCTTTTGTTAAAATACCCTTATATAGCTCAGTTTTAATGAGCTCATGTTATGAACCAGACTGCGTATACCTTATTTTTATTAAAGCATACTACTTATAAGAGTTCTAACTTCTGCCCTCGATTTTATACCTGGGAACTTCTGAATTCACTTCATTTTGTATGATAATGACTTTATACTTAATAAATAATAACACCTCAGGAATGGATTATCTGTAATATTAAAAAAACAAATTCAACATAGGAGTATGGATAGCATGTAATATGAATAAGTAATAATTATAGACAAGCATTTAAAAGTTTTCTTAAAAATACGTAAAGCCATGGGATACTTAATTAAATGACAATTTATGTTGTTATTTTGGCACACATCATAATAATTAAAATATATTTTTATGACGTAATTAAAATTGATGAATTCTATTCTCATTTTTCATTTAGGTCTTAAAGTCGAATATTAAATTTTTATTTGAATTCAAATATGATGTATTAAAAATGTTATTTGTTTATTAAAGAGAAACAAAGCCTTATAAGATACTCTTATTTTCCAAACGATATACCTGACATTGTTATATTTTGGAGAAAACGCTATACGTTGAATATAAATCTGCTAGCTCAACCAATGTCAACCCTTATCTAATGAATTGTGTGGAATGCACACTTGTGTAAAATTACGTCTATACGAATGTGTACACATTAAACTTTAGTCATTTTAGACAAGTGGTAATTTAAATTCAAATCGATAGAGGAATTTAAATTTTTTGCTTATAATTGTAAGCTCATTAAATGCTTTAAATATCTACATTATATAACTAAAAAATTATAAAACTTACGTCATAAAGAGGTAGGAAATAAAAGTAGCCAAATATTAGTGTACTTCGGGGACAGCTTTTCTACAATATGTTCTGAGCCTAAATTACTCGTTTTAAGTACTCCTTATGACTAAAATATTAATAGCCTGGTTATTAATTACAATTGCCGCAGTTATTTATAACACAACCGAGGCTTAATAGCCAGAATATGGTTCTAGAGGAAATACCGACTCTTGAGATACAAGGTTAGATTAAAACTTTTTGATTGTTATCTTAATATTCACTAAATTTATCTTATACAGTTTATTTTAGTATTTTTCGTTGAAGGGCAAAAATATTTCTATTTGTAACTAGCGCTTCGGATACATATTAAAAATGTTGTTATTTAAACATTCCAATGAACCGAAGGAAATTAACGATCTTGGATGAATTAAAGATAGAGACAATGACAATGACAATGACAAAGGGTAACGAGACGACGTTTTATGCGCTCTTATTAGTATAAATATTTAAAAACTATTTATTCGAATTATTCGTTAAAAATAGTACAGTAAACGTGAATTTTAAAACATCCATTTTGACAATCAAATAAATATAACTGAAAAGTCTCGTCACGTTTGCGTATTCTGCATTCACAACAATAAAAATGTGAAAATCTCTGACACATTAAATTTTTAGAGCCTCGTAAACACAAAAAAATATCGGTCGATTTTTATTTGGTGCAAAGTTAAATGTTGAATATTCATACGTGGTTTGATGCACGGCTTCACAATTCCGTGTATTCGAATAATATTTGTCCAAAGTAAATATAATATTGTCATAACGTCATGAATTGGGTATGTCATCACTTGTTAATCCATAACTGTTTTTGATATAATATATACATAGAGTAAACTATTCGGTGTGTAATATTATTGATAACGTAAACAAGTTTGAAAAAAAAAAACTGAAAACGAAAAACACATTCAATTCTATTTAACATCCTCAATACTATGGAAGAGTGAACATTTTAGGTTTGAAATGTTTTCATTTATTTTAAACAGCATCATTATCTAGCTTTACTATTATGCATAATATGTAGCTTTATAATCTCTGGCAGTAAAATACACGTGTAAATTTACAATCAATTCTTTTTCGATACGTTTCAGTAGGATTTTGTTTTTTTTCCATAAATCTATTTTGCAATGTGTTATAAAATTTATAAAATGTTATTATTTAATTATGTTGAAGCTATTCAAAGTTTTGAACACGGAAAATACTGAAATTACAGATTTTACGCCCCACTAATATTTGGCAGCGTGCCTGTTCTATAAAATCACGATGGCTATACTTAGCCTGTTTTGATCGAATTGAAATTTCTTAATACTTTATATCCAAAGTTAAATAATAAAATGATTGAATAGTTTTTTTTATGTTTTTGTACAATATGAGCAATTGTGAGTACTAAGTGTAATATTAGATGTAGAAAAAAAACAAACAACTAGTATTAAATATGTTCGTAAACTCAAACTTTAAATCACTGGAATATTTTGTTGCTAACCAAAATTGTGTTCTTGTTACAGGCAGCTAACATCTGTATACTAATATTTCTCTTCAAACAGAATAGTGCTATTCGTTTGCACAAGATGTTCCAATTTCTAGACGGTTACAAATCCGAGCATACGTTACAAGGATTCCTACATGTAGGTAAAGATTACGCTGTATTCCTTCGGAAACCGCACTCACACGACAAATACCTAACCTATGAACTTTATGAGGCGAAAAACGTTGACACTTTGAGCAACTTGCCGAGATTGCTTGCAATATCAAAGGTACCTGTTGTGTACATAAAAGAACAACTTACGACATTTCGGGAGGAATTATATAAAGCGAAATACGTAGATGGTAATGTTGTGCCGGGAACTCAAGTGAAAACATTAAGGGAATGGCAGATAGCAAGGGCATTGACCTCGAAAAACAAAGAAAACGTTGCAGAAACACATGTACTTCAATCTATTGTGCTTTAGCTTGGGATATAATTAGTGGAATGATATAGATATATATATAAGAAGAGATATCTTAATCAAGAAAACCAGCGATATATTATTATTATATATTCAAGTGAAATATTTAGTAAATATCTTTACGTCTATTATCTATGCACCAACAACCTTAGTTTTCATTGCCAAATTAATTTAAAATGATTTGTCCTAGCAAAGTAGCCTCAACAGAAAACTCAACATTCCCATACACTATCATTTTTGTGCTTAATTAAACTACAAATTGAATTTCTCTATGTATTGAGTATTTCTAATACCATCGTAACTGAAAAAAAGCAAGATTTCGGGACTTTGAAACTATAACTCCCGTCTTATATAATAATTGACATATTCCGAAATTTCTACATAGGTAATCGGGATGACTACTGCGTTATTGTAGATTTGTTAGTTATTTTACTATTGTAACTTACTAGAGCCGAATGTAAAATTTAATCAGAAATTGAATTTTAAAGGTGTTGAAAGTTGAATAAATTGAACACTAATATTATCGCTAAACATTTTAATCGGTTATTTTAAATTTTTAGTTTAAATATACTTTAGAGGTTAGTACAATAAACATTGAGTAGCGTATTATAGTAAAAGGATTCTATTAATAATATAGAGTTAAGCATACATGATTGACGGTCTAAGCACAATATGAAAATTTATTGGAGACAATCTTTACAGGGCATTTTGTGAATAGGTGGGTAGGTATGGAGGCGTTTTTGGTACCAATAACTACATGTGAAAGGTTAAACATATGGTTATTTTTAAAGATAAAAATATGAATAAAATTACTTAAAATCTTTATACAAATAACAAACACAAAAATAAGAGGAATGTTTTTAATGTTTTAATTGCCTATACTTGAAAAAAAAGAAAGATCCATTTGTCGTTTTCAAATGTATGTTTTTAAAGATTTATTGTTTCAACAAAATACAAAATAAATTTGTAGGACTAGACTTACCAAAATTAATTAACGATTTATTTTTACTGATAATAATTAATATAAAATACTTACGCTTAGTATATATATGTAATATGGCAAATTAATTAGATTAAGGAAACAGTTCATTCTTTAACTACATATTTTATGAGTTGTGAGAAACAAATGGGTGGTTTACTACCATAATATTAATTATCTAGCATATTAAAAAATTAAAACTTACGGTGACACTTCCAGAAATTAAGGTTTTTGGTTGAAAAGTTAATTTTTACTTAAATTTTAAAAGAAATTTTTATTTATATAAATTTGCAATTTTAATAACTCAATTTCCAAATGGAAATATAACTAAAAATATACATAAATCTAGCTAAAATATAACAAATTCTTCGTTCTTTGGGATAAATATTGGGTATGGACGCTAAGTAAGCATGATCTGATAAATTATAATATATCAAAAAACAGTATTTGCTTGCGTCGAAGATCATCCATCAAGCCAAGACATCTACTCAAAGTAAGACCATAAGCACATTTATATTAACTTCCTACTTAATTTACTTACAAATTAATGACTTCACTTTGTTATGAATTGGCTTCGAAAGCTTTTAACCCACGGTTTTACTATAGACTCATGACTTGAATATCATTTGTTGAAGCTATATTTTATAAAATATATAGCCTTTTAGATTTGACATACATGTTAATACAATGAACATATATGATTATATTATATGTGCCGTAACTAAAAAATGAAATAAATGTAAAGTAATACCCACTTTAATAGCAAATGTGCATCAGACATGAGTGTGGTCATAGCTTTAGGATTTCTATCATATCATATAAAATTGCTCGTAGGATTACGAGCATAATCTTTTTAAGGTATTATGGAGCTTCTTTTCACATATTTTTAAATAAAACATAGTGATATGCTCTTTTGATAGTTAATATGAATCTTAAGTGATGCATACATATTTTTAGTGGACTTTAATTTCAAATATGATACTTTAATTTTTTCTATTTCATTTTATAGGAATATTCTACCCTCTGTACATCAATGTTTAATATTAATATCTAGTTTTTCACATTGTTCTTTTGAAAATTCATTTAACAAACTGTTCCGTAGCTTTTTAGACCAAAAACATATAACCTTCTCCTTAATACATAGAACTGTTCGTAATCTATATGAACTTATTAACAAATAAAAACATGTTGGGCGTCAGTCACCATCAACCTTAAGGTAAATGAAAACTTCGAGGAAGTTTTCTAATTTCAGGCTTAAAATAAAGAATATATTAGATATTTTCCTTGGTTATTGATAATTATTAGGTAATACCAAAAAAAGTTTAAGCGTAAACCTATTTTAAAGTGGACAAAAAAATGAATACTCAAAGTAAACAAAACGCAACATAGTGTCATACCTATATGCTAAAAAAATTCTATCAATTAATCTTTATCCTACTTTTAAGGTATGTATGTTAAGGTAGATTTTTTTATTTAGTAAAATTTAAAGAACATGTAAATTTAAAGGTTTCACAAGCTTGACGCGAGATTTAACTATTCATGTTTAGATCGTTTAAAAATTTTAATACCTAAAATCAATTTACTCGCTCTTCTACAAACTCTTCTACTGTAAAATCACGTGTTACATAATGACTTTGTAATTTGAAATTTAAAGTTTATATATTTAATGGTCTTCATAAACCGAAATAAAAGCCTGTTTCTTATTTTAATATACAACTATATTTATCTCTGGATATGTTTTTCGAGTTAATCCTACAAATCGTTTAAAGTTTTCAATTTTGACATCAATATTGTACATGTACCTTAAGATGATATGAAACAAATTAAACATACGTTACTATCCAAACTCAACTTGTATCAAAATTCAGATCATTTGACTGAACGTGTCACCTTTAAAATTAAGTATTTATATTTCAACCGAACAGATTACTTACGTACATATACATACATATAAATAATATTACTTTTAATAATTTAATATTACTACTATGGGAGAATTTCAAATATAATGGTACATCGACTGTTGTAATATCCCATTTGTGAATTTTATTAATTATTATGTATATGAATCATATTTTTGTAATTACTATTCAACTGTGTTCCAAATATTTTTAAAAAATATATAGATATAAACAGCAATCGCGCACATCTAAGCCCTAATAGAAGAGATAAGCAATTCTATCACGAATGCATTTGCGTATAAAATATGTACCATTTTATCCTTCGAACGTGCAGCTAGATTCTATAGAAAATACAATTTCCTTTTTACAATTGCATGATTTATTAATGTTTTACGTGTTTTACAATATTGTCTTAGTTTAATTGTCAGTTGGATCGTATGATGATGTGAAAAATTCAATTCAAATATTAATTCATGTCCATTATAAATGTGTTGATACATTTGTAAATGGTCTGGAATAAAATGCTATGAAGAAAAGAAATTGTAGTGTTATCATTTTTAAAATAATAATAAAAGTAAGAGTAAAATAAGAATAAAAGTTAAGAAGCTTTAAGATCTGCCTATTAACATGATAAATCTTTAAGACTGGTGACGTCCGAACAGGTAAAAATGAAAGCAGTTTATCACGAAACTAATCCCTATTTAGTGACTGTAAGTGTCTGTGTTGTGAAGTTGATATGCATCTTTACACGTCCATATTTCTGAACTTCTTTTTTAACAAGCTCTTAAAGTTGGCTAGTAGCCGCAGAACACGATATTCCCTACTTAGCATAGCTTTGGGACCATGATTATTATAAACAGCGTGATTAAAAAAAAAAAATTTCTATTTTAGTCTTAACTTCTTGAGAGTTAAGTTAGTAAGAACTACCTACCTTTTTGACACCTAGTTGATAGCTATGAGGATGCATCGCAGAAATACTTTACCATTCCGTTCCCCGATAGTAAAGTGGTAAAAAAGAAATAAAAGATCATGATAGGAAAACGTACAGTGAATTGCCGTTATTCTAACAAATGATTTGAATTTTTGAGTATAATTAGACAGAAAAAACATCAGCATCATTATATTATACATTGGAAAAGTAATCTTTTTATAAATATAAATAAGATAAGATTATTTTAAACACAAAACCGTTTTTATTCACGGTTTTCAGATCTGACTCCTATATTAAAAATTATAAGAAATTTAATTGTAAGAAGAAATCTGCCTATGTAATATGAAACTAATGTACCCTTAAAAGGAATGACACTTGTTTTTTTAATATGAGAAGCTTTTTTCACAATATAAGGTTTCACATAGTATTAAATATAGACAAACTTAAAGTTTCCATTAACTTGTTACTTTCTTAGACCTTATTCCCAAAGGTCAGAATTAATTTTATTTAGAACTTTATGTAAGTCTGTAATTTAGTTCAAAGCCCTCGATATTCTCTAAATTATTTTGTATACTACCGAGTTGTCCTCGAGGAGTATTAGCCACTCAACCTTTGTCTAAAAATAAATCTATTTCTGTGAAGGGCTAAAGGTATTAAAAAATTTAATCCACTTAAAATTATAATCGCAAGGTTTATAATTTTTAGAACGATAGGAGAAAGTGGAGATGTTTGTATATAATTAATTATAATAATTTATATTTAATTGGATGTTATTCTATACTACAAAATCTGAATACAAACAATCTGAGAGTTAAATAAAACTAGTTTTATTCAAAGCTAGTGCATTTTAACTCTGTAAGCTATATGTTATTAAAATATGTTTCTCTGTATTGGTTTGTTTCGACCTTTATTAAACTACAGGTATTTCGCACAAGTGGTGCGTTGCAAAGTAAGCAATACCAATATCATACGTTGGTATCGAAAGCAATACAGAGTTGATGATTTCATATCGCAAACGAGAATCAAAACTAAATTAGGGTTATATGAATATTTGAAAAACTGTTGGAATAATATAATTCATAACATGTTCCAACAGAATAAATAACTATTATTAAACGGGAATCATAAACATGTAAATTTATTGTAGGCTTGAATTCACTTAAACATGTAAAATGTAATCATTTTGGCGTTT